TTGTTTTATTTTTCTACGCTTTACGCTACTATTCCCCACGATCCATTGACAGATCGAATACATCGTTTTACTAACCAGAACTTGTTTTTACAATCACGAGACTAAATATACGAATTCTTCCTTGTTTTAAGTCACGAAACATCTTATTTTGTGAAGAACAAAAACGATTCCCTTAACAAATCCACAGTAGATGATATCATCAAAATGAAGCACAGTTTGATTGACATCATATTTCTTGAGTTTGGTGGATTGATATTTCAACAGACAGTTGGCATCCAATGGATATATTGTGCGCCCCTCATATAATGCATAATTGATACATAACCTTCTAAAGTATTTTATAATAGTACATAACAAGTGTATGTAGTCGACCAGGAACTACTTACCCTCCCGGAGCACCTGAGACTTGTTGCAATCTGTGTTTATTTCAATTTTTGGCAGTATATATTACAAGTCCCGTTTGATGATTTTTTGTTTCACCTTGCGTTGTTATGATTAATATAAAAACTAATTGAAGTACATTTTGTTTTCAGTTTTCATTTTTAATGGACCTTCTTTATGACAACATTTATAAAAGAGAAAACCACCGGAATTATTACAATATATACTTATTAAACCATGAAAAGATACGTTTTGTTCATGATCAAGTCTAATCTTTAATTGCTTGTGTATTACGTGTTGGTGTTTTAACGTTGATATTCAGACTATTTCTTTTGTGTTAGATTGGATATTGGTGTTTTCCAACCCAGTAGCTCAAGCATGCTATATCGACATGTGCAATAGACAATATCAATCGACTAATGTTCAGAATTGGATTCAAAGGGGAACATCTTAAGACTGTCACAGAAACACATAAAGAGTTGAATAGAGTGAGGAGGCTGAATCCATCTTAGAATCCATTTATGCCCTATGGGCTTAACAATTCAATTACAAAATGTGCTTGCAAGGATGGTTATAAACTTAACTTGTCTATATTTTTTTCATTGTACCTTCTTTTGTGTGCCTCTAAGTTCTTTTATGTTTATACTAAGGATTTTCTACTCATGGAAAAGATTATCTTATTAAAGCAAGAGTTCAAAGTGGTGAAGTTGAAATCGTCCCTTCGTAAAGTTTACGGACCCATCACGAGTTGGTTGAACGTTATGGAATGTCCGTCTAACAGATGACAACCGATATGTTCCAATTGTCGTAGCTACAATGCCGTCCCCTTTTGCCCGAATGTGACCTACCGAATCAGACTTATCACCGGGTTTGTACTAGCATGAGCAACACGACGGTTGTCATATGCGGAGCAGGATCTGCTCACCCTTCCGGAGCACCTGAAATTACTCCCAATTTTTGGTAGGGTTTGTTATGCTCAGTCTTTAGTTTTCCATGTTGTGTTTCGAGTTCTATTGTTTGTCTGTTTGTCGTTTATTTTCGACTTATGAGTTTGAATGTCCCTTTGGTATCGTTCGCCTCTCTTTTAGATGTATTTGGCAACCCTGTTCAGAATTGTCGGTCCTCAATGCATTTCAGCTTCATACCATATTTGGCTTTTTTAACTCTTTTTTTTTTCTAGCGTTACTGGTGAGTTATTTTGTAGAAGAAACACCCGTCTGGCATACCAAATTTTAATCCTGGTATCTATGATGAGTTTAATGTCATTTCAATAATAGGAATTAAAAAGGGTGTTTGAGATCTAGAATAAATCTAACCAATTATCATTAGCAGGTGCCTGGTACATTTCAAGGTCAGTTGTTGTCTTTAATAAATTTTGATGTTGATGTAATGTATGGAATATGGGGTAGACAAGATATCTTTGATAGTATCTGTTGAACTTACTCACAACTTTTCTTGATTCGGACGAGCCAGGGCTAGACATTTATATAGACATTTGTCTATTGATAACGGTCGTATGATAAACTAAAGATGTCTTTTGGATATTATTGTCGTTGAGTTCTGTCACAAAAATATTCCGAATACCCCGTTTTTGCTCAATTCTAGTGTTAATTGATTTAATAATGTAGACTTGAAATTACAACTTCTTGTTAAATTTACTCAAACTTTGTCTTTAAATTACGTTCCATGACAATATCATGTTTATGGTTTTCTGGCATTTTAGTCACTACATATTAAGATAAAATTCATCGATGGTATCAACAGTTTTTATCATAGCCTAGCAGAAACCTTCCAGGTCTCTTTTCAAGTCATGTTATCAAAATGATTATCGAACCACCAATTTACGTGTCTCTTGTATTGTGTATATAATTGTATGACTTCGACACGAATAGAAGTCGTTAATATCTATATATGGTAGAGAGCCTCCTTTGTTGTTGTTAATGGAAAAGAATGAGTTGTCACAATAAATGATGCGTACGTAAATTAGCAAAAAAATATCACATCTGATATCTATGTTTTGTTAAAAATAACATTCCAGATGTTAATGACTCTTAGTTTTTATTATTTTGTCTTGTTTAACTCTTTCAGATGTAAACATATTAAGAATATACACAATATTCCCGGTACTCATTAAGAGACCTTGGAGGAAGAAATGTATATTTTGTTGGCTTATTAAGCTTAAAGGTATATGAACTTTTCACCCTACTTTACTTTTCTGGTATGGGTTTTATACTTTACATTACTTTGTGTCATGCAAAGAGGCAAACAAAAAGGATAAATGAATCCATATTGCATGATTACTCAGAATATTTATTTTTGTGATAACTGTTTACTTTGGGCTATTTTGCGTAATCGATTATTAATCAATTGCTTACCTTAAACTTTGGTTCAATCTGTAATTGATTGCAATCGATCATTTTGGTCAAAAGATATAATGGATTTTTTGATAATCAAGTTAGAGTCAAACCATGATTTTGAGGTTTAGAGTGAAACAAACAAATGCAAATAATGGGCAAATTAAAAGAAGAGAAAATTGGCCTTAAAATGAAAAAAATACAGAAATGAAAATCCCCATTCAGTCCATCATAATGTGTGTATCGATTATCAGGTTGTCTGCATATTGATATTGTAAAATATCAGCTGCGAGTCACAATATGAAATTTTTTGTCGGTGAACGCAGCAAAAAATTTCAAAATTGTGTCATATTCTGTCGAGAAGCTGATATTTTCCAATATCAATATTCAGATAATCGATTTATCGGATTGTATTTGTGTATTTGCATGATAGAAACAAGTGTTTTTCTTTTTTGCAGCAGTAAACCGGAAGATGACGTGATAAGTTCTGATCAAAATTATTAACGTCGGTTTATTCATTATGACGTCGGTGACATGTCCGTGTTAAAGTTATTAAGGCCAGGTCAACGTATTTGACTTAACAAAGCCGCGATATGCAATTTTATGAAGAGCTGAGCAGAGTGACACAGACAGTGGGAGCACTGATAATAATCTGTACTGATTTGCACAATATAAATCCATTAACCATTGATATTCGTGTTTGATAATCCTTAGTGTTTGAAATGCCAACACTAAACCCACACTTAAATGTAAATTATTGGTAATGAATGTCATGCTGCTAAAGAGAGTTTTTTTTTTGTATTTTGTACACATGCAGTCAAGTGAGTATTTGAATCCTATATAAAAGCTAAATGCAAAAACACAAAATGCTTCTTTCACTATATGTTTGTTATACTAAATTGCGAACATGTTAGAAGTGATGTTTAACTTTTTAAGGTGTACATTTAAGTTACGCAGGCTGGGGTTTTGTATCAATTATTCATACTGCACAACTAACTCTTATGTATTTGCTTGAATCAAATGAAGGAAACAACCGTTCAACGCAGTTGTCACACAGCTCATAGAAGGTGATTTTTGATCATTCATTTTATTTCTTTACTTCTTCCTACTCCAAGAAAAGCGCTTCGGACGCTCGAAATTAATAAAGTGTTTTTTTTTTCATTATCTTCAAAGAAATAGGCTGTTAGTTGTTTCATTTACTATATAAGCTTGTTGTCAGTTACTCCAGTGCAATACTTATTTGCCATATCCACGTTTTTCTTTTCTGTGCTTGTGTTCATTTGAATTATGGGGAAAAGCCTAGATTAAGGGAGAAACTTTTCTACATCAGTAATGTGTTTGGAATAGTCAATTTCGTCAATATTCATATGAAACAGAATGATATTGATCGGTGTTACATAGAAGTGAAAAATATATTTTTTAATTGTTTTGATTTCAGTGTTGTTTGATAACATATTGTTCTAACGGTGAGAGTCTTGTATGTCATTTTCTCACAAAACAGGGGTTTTAATTTAAACCTTCATAGTCAGTCAAATTTACAATTATATAATTGTACCGCTTGTTTATGACTTTGACTATGTTTGTCAAAAAGTGTTCACCGATCTGCTATTATGTGTCGCAAAGTCAACATTATACTCATGGCAAAGTCAACATTATACGCAAACAGTTTATTAGAATATAACGTAAACGTAAAGGAATGAAAGTTGTCTCTCTTCTCACATCAGGTAAATCTAATACAGTCGTGAATAAGTTTTTTAATTTATACATTAGGTATATGCATTACGGACGTCTGAATTCTCTTATATAAGTCTTCAACATATATTGATAAGAGTTACAATGTTGGTATCATTAGTGGAACAGAAACTGCCTGCACATCCGGAGCTCCATCTTTTAACCTTGTTTTTGATGTTTATCAATCTAGTTTTTTGAAGGACTATTGTTTGTCTTATCATCATTTTGTCATGTTGTGGACTGTTTCTAGTTTTTTTTTATCGTTCCTTGATATCTTCTACTTTTCTTATTTCTATTTTATTATTCAAAAGGAATAGTTGTAATGATTCATGTCGGTTGAAATGTTTTGTCACTTTAAACAAGGATATCTATGATCATCTATTGAAAATGTAATTCGTTTGTTAATTCCGTAGTGGCAAAAATAATATTTATTCAATTTAATATGAACAGTGAAGTGATATGATCATTTTTATTAGTATGTGCGTTTGTGTGGTTTTGTAATGGTGTTTTACAGCTGTCATAAAAACACTGGAGTTTCCTTAACCATATATTAAAAAAAATCCAAATCAAGAATAAATAGTTCTGTTGCATTGTTTCACGTCAGTAATAAATTGTCAAACAACTCCCCAAATATTTTGATGAAATAAAATGTTCGTGCAAATATTTAAGCATAATTGTTGTGAAGACACAATATGAATCGTTATCTGTGTAACATAAAAACCACTCTTTATATCAAACTATCAATAACCAATCCAAGTTTTAAGTCGATCTACAGATCCAGTCGTCAAACGGATGAAAATATTTGACCCTTTTTATTTCCTTCGTGTGTTCGAATGTTCCTCGTCAAAGCATTGTAGATCCATTTTCTGTGATCGAGTCGAACATAATAAGGTTTGCAGGTGATGTTGTTGTTGTTTGACACTGAAAAATATTGATAACATTTGTCATGAATGAAAAAAAACTGTTATTTTAATCTGAAGTTTCATGTTCAAGCAAAAATTATAATTATCAGAATTAACTTTGAAATTAATTTTATATATTACACATGCCGTCAATGACTTAATATGGAATATAACCGATCAGTAAATTTTATATTGGGTGAGAGCATAGCTCGAATCTCCATCTAAAAATTCCTGACCATGTATATACATTTACATTATTAGGTCACTGGTAGACTATGTAATATTTACATCCTTCCGAGTATCTGATACTTGGAACACAGATATATTATTAACAGATACCGTTTTATATCTGTCAAAATCGATAACTCTTGTACACACCCTGTAATAAAGAATGCCAATCAAATATTATTCAAACCAAAATCGTGATTAGGGTGAAATAAAGTATATTCTGAACACGTAGAATATTTCTAAAAGAAGTTCTCAATTTGTTAAAATATATTTTGGTTTTTATTTTATATCATGGATGTCACTGTTATGTTTTGATTTTTTGTTGTTGCAATTTTCAATCAAATTTACTGTAAATATCTATTCTTATAATTTTGAGTTATATTATTATCCATTCTTTTATGGTTTACATTAATATTGTTTCCTCGAAATAATTCATAAGCATACATGTAATATACAACAAAACATTTGTTTCTGTTTGGAAAAAAAGAGTCGATTTGTTAGTTCATGAAATTTTCAATTAGGAAAAAAACCATAATTGATATTATTACAATACAAACACTTCAATTGATTTTCAAATGTACGTCAATGCTCTATTCTATACAAACATTAATAATAAACAATTTTAAGCTTTTTAATCTACAGAGCAATAAATGCCAATTTGGATATACCTGTATATCTAAAGCCTAACTATAACCTCCATTTATTTGTTCATTGCATGCATTTCAAGGTTATAAATATAAGAGCTAGAAAATATTACGGCCGTATGACAACAAAGAATTCACGGCATTAACTAATGACATTTTGGATATGGGTGTCATGCATAAGCTCCCACAAATCTATGTGTAACAAGAAGGAATTGGTAGCACTAGGACAATCAAACCAAAGGGTAATTACAACAAACCGAATTATTCTGTTCTTTAAATACAGTTAGCATACCCTAAAAAGTAAAATGTATTTGCGGTTAGAAACATAAAAAAACAAACTTTCTGAAAACTGGAGAACAATAAGGACGTTTTGTGTACCCCCCTTTGTCAAATGACTCCAGTCGACTTCATAGAATATTATCGCATAACGGCTTAAATTGTAAAAGATATTATTGAGTTAAAACATAACTAAATATACATCATGTACATTGCTATACAGTTGTGAGCCTCTCGTCAATACTTATATGCTGAGCTTGCACAATGTCATACACTGCTTATACTTTTTATGACGCCTTTAAATTAAATTCTTCTGACATGTGCTGATTAATATTTTAGTCTGGGGAAACATGATTTATTCAATTGCTGAAATTGACTTTGACAACGCTTTCAGGAACTGCGAGTACTCTTAAATCGGTAGTTTGTGCCTTTTGTCTTTTTGTAAGTTGTTTTAACAATAAGAAACGTTTTGCTTTCCTTTTGATATCTGTTTTGAATTGAAAAAAAAAATGATAATTTTAAATTTTAGTGTTGTCATTTCTAGAAATCCTTATTAGCCCATTTTACCCAAAAGGGCTAGTGTGAGCTCGTGCCATCACTTGGCATCCGTTTGCCGTCTTCAGTCTTTTATTGGCCATTGTCCGTTAACTTTTATCGAAATATTATCTGTAAATACCAGGTCAATAACAACTGAACTAGGTGACAATTATTGTCTAGTAAAAATTGTAGTTTAAATAACTGTGTCTGAAGGCTTACCAAAAGGCTTACCAACATGGCAGCGATGGTTAAAAATATAATCTAGTGATAGAATTCAAGTTTTGATTATTATTTCAAAAACTGTTATAAAATAACAAAAAATCTAATGGTTATTTTGACTAAAGTTAAATGTAAAAATTACACGATCTACAAAATAAATCGAACCGCCTCATGTGCGTTTTTTTACACAAATAAATTATTACCTAAAAATTATTACAGTCAAAATGTACATGTCAATCAATATGACAAAAATCGTTCATTAACTCCGTAAAGGCCCTGATGACCACCCCCCCCCCCCCCCCCCTTTATTTTTTAGTTTTGGAGGATACTGTAGTCGATAGAGCGAATTGTACACAACAAGAATTATCAGCAAAATAAGATAGACAAATAAGTGAAGATAGTAAAAATTTTCAGACTACTCCATATATTAGTTATTGTCATTGAATAATGAGTTTTGACAAATTGCAGTGTTTTTACCTAATATCTGGAACAATAATAGATCCATCAAAATTTTCAACAGCAAATATTATCAGGAACAAAAGATTTATAAAAGAACAGAGTTTAAATGTCCCCCGCGTTTACACATATTTTATCTATCCAAGGTGCAAAGACAATAACTGAAAAAAAACACTTTGTTTGTTCTCTAAATCTTTTTATAAATAGCCATAGGCTTCAGAGCAAATGCAATATGCAATTTTCGTTATATTTATTGTTTGCAAGGGGCATAACTCATTAAACATATTTGATCAGCACTTATTTTCGAAAGTGTCAAAGACATTGCTGATATATAAACCTATGATTTAAGTTTTTTAAAATTCTGGCAAGATTTGTATACATGAGAGCGCTATCAATGCAATTTTTTATGTAATCAATATTTACAAGGGACATAACTCTTTTAAAAATAATTGATCGTCACTGATTTTTGAACTTGTCAAAGACATTGCTGATATAAACCTATGATATAAGTTTTTCAAATTCTGGCAATGAACTATACACATGAGAGCGCTAGCAAGGCAATTTTCAGTATAATTTATGTTTCCAATGGCATAACTCATTTTAAAAATAATTGATCGGCACTGATTTCATAAAAATCTGACAAGAATTGTACACATGACAGCGCTAACAAGATCGGATGGACGCCCGGTATTTCTATTCCCCTTTTTAAATTTACTTTTGCCAATTAACATGTATAATTTATGGGATAGTCAAAAAATAATGAAAGATGAGCAATACACATGCTATTTGAGCCTCTAGATTTACTTCCTGAGAGATTGGTATGTCTGGACTATGTCAACTCGTCAGACTATTAACGAATCGATCTCGATGTAACCAAATTGCATGAAAACATCATCACTAAAATAATAATTGTGTTTTTTTTCTGTCTGTTGTGTGCACTCACAAACTTCTGCGCAATACTAAACGTTAGATCTCTGTGACTATAGAGTCCTCATTTTACATTTGTTTATGGCTGCACGAAAATATGACTTTCATTGAAAAAAACCCATTTCCCTCGTTAATTAGATATGAAAGATATTTTTATATCATCAAACATAAAACTTTTAAAAAGCCTTTGACTTCATTATAAAAAGGATGGTAGCTGCTAGTGTATGAATGTATATTAAAATAAAAAGTATCTAAATTTTGAACATGTTTAGAGGCTAGTGACCAAAACTGGCATAGACAGTCTAGTAGCAGTTGGCGTTCTATATATATGTTTGAATAGATATTTTCTATGTCGCAGTAAAACTAAAACTATGTCGATTTATCAAAATATAGATAAATGCGGTCAATCTTATGGTACATGTAAATACATTCCAAGAGTAAAGATCAATTAAAAGATTACAAACTTATTAAAATATAGATACAGGAGTACATTTCCTTTAGACGTTAACATACACAATAAATTGGAGGCAAAAATGGTTATTCAAAAATATCCAGAGCCACTCATTGTTCTTAATATCTTGATTACAAGACAACGAAACATCGCCCTTTTGGCCATCCATGCATAGTTACTAAGACATATTTACCACGAAACTTAGAAGGGAAACTCAACAATTTGGTTAGTCGAGCAGTTGAAAATATGTGCTAACGCTTATACATTGTATCTTAAACACAGAATACATCTTTCGGAAGAAATGCGTCGTAATTTGTTGACTCAATCGGACAAATCGAGGTACTACATGTTTTTTTTCTGATTTACTTGTATAGCATGCATACAAATGAGTTAAATGTTTGATTAATGAAATAAGTTTAAATGGTAAAAACTGAAAGAAGAGGGATAACTCAAATTTTATATCTGTGTGTGTGAATACATCTGTCTTTCGATTCCTCGGTGTCAATGTACAGACATTTTGATAATAGGTTACATATAAAAATAAGATGTAGCATGATTGCCAATGAGAAAACTCTCCACAAGAGACCAAATGACATAGAAATTAACAGCATTAGGTCGCCGTACGGCCTCCAACAATGAGCAAAACTCATACAGCATAGTCAGCTATAAAATGCCCAGAAATGACAAATGTAAAATAATTCAAACGCGAAAAAATAACGGCCTGATTTATGTTCAAAAAAGTGAATGAAAAACAGATATGATATACAGCAACAAACGACAACCACTGAATTACAGGCACCTGACTTGGGACAGGCACATAAAGAATGTGACAGGGTTAAACTTGTTTGAAGGCGGCAACCATCCCCCTAGCCTGGTACAGTGGTGTAACAATACAACATAAGAACAAACTATAAAAATTAGTTGAAAAGGGCTTAACTCATCAGATAGATACAAAGCAGAAATACATCTGACAAATTTTACATTATACATGTATAACATAAAGTACGTTTATCTACTCTACATATATAGTGTAATTACTTACCCGACAAAGGCATGGGTGCTATTGAATAACATACATTTTATAATTTTGACGTTTGTATGACACCCTTTAAACAATTAAATGTTTGTACTAAGTAAAACATAATGAACGGATACACGTTCGGCACTTAAAATAAAAATGAAGAAAGTTATTTTGAATCTATAACAAAGGTACAAATTAAAACCAATTGATGTATGCATGTTTACGTCAAGAATGATTTGTAGACGTGGAGTTGGATGTTGATGGGGGTCTGTTGTGGTATCCAATATATTTAGTGACATTCAATTGATGCGTCGTACAGCGTATACATTTAACAACTGGTCTATTTAGTTTAGGTTTCATTATTTATCACATGACACCAACATTTTTTCGGAACAATTAATATGTCTACTTTGTAATTCAAGATTAAATTTGTACAGTGAATTCGTTACCCAATATACCGAATTTTGAAGCAATATTCATTATCATGTTATTGCAACTATTATATTTCCCATTTCCATTCTCAATTTTAATTTCCTTCAAATAAGTTAATGTAATGTCGATTTAAGCGCACCATATTATATTATGTTATAAAAATGTTATAAAAGCAACATGAAACAATTACTCAATATTATTTAATTTTTTCTTTGAAAATTTGCATCTTAGGGAAATATCCATTTGCTGGTCATTACTTCCGTCCTGTTGACGACGAGTTTGCAGTGTATTTAGAAAAGTATATAATAATCTATAGCTAAAGAATATGTCTCGGATTTCTTAGTCAATACTCTTAGTTATATTTTAACCTCTTCGGTTTGCCTTTTTTTTCTAAATTAAAATTAATGAAATATGTGTGCAATGGTCTTATTTATGTCTACATTCATAACGTTAATATTTGTATATTTTGTCTTATGACATATTGTCCTGAATTGTTGTTAAACACCAACTAGCTATGAAACTGGATTTTTAAAAGCTACTCCCCCCTTTTGTGCAGTACACAAACAAAGATACAATATCAATGATTAAAACTTATGCATTAAGCATGTGACTTACTCCTTTATTATCTTGGGCACCATTTATGTTAGATGGTTTTAATGGTTTCGTTTCATCGTTTTTGCGTTCCATGTCGAAATGTTCAATGTCCGTCATGTCTGTTATCATTGTTGTTTTAATAACCTGAAAGACAATTTGTTTTCAAATTTAAAAATATTTTATAGAGACCCATCTATGTCCGCACTATTTAAGCGATGAAATCATTTTTCTACATAGATAAACACCATTTATCCAGATCAGTAGGTCGCCGTAATAAAATAAAGCAAATTTTGCAATATGTATGTGAGTGCAAGCTGATAAGATTATTGAGATGATAAAGCCTCACAACAGTTTTGACATGTGCCATAAACACTCACGTAATATGGCGTAGAAAATAAAAATTGCATAACGATTGTAACAGAAGGTTAACATGCAACATTCACAAACAATATTTATCCTTAATACAATCACAGGACTATTGCACGAATATTAGTGTTAAACACTATGATAGAAGAAAGGTCATGTGGTCTGATGTATGATTATATACCACACTAATGCCTTATCACTATACAAATTATCAATACATGCAATTGGTGTTGTGAATGAATATAGAAAATACATAAATGATATAAAGAGATTTCACCAGATGAAGGACTTTTGATATTCAATAATAGTTTTAGTTCAAGATGATATCAACTACTGCAAACGATGTCTTAGTTTTGTTTTTTCTTTCTTTTCTTCACATCTGTTCTACATGTATTTATTAATTTTGTTTTTGATAGAAAAAAGACCAATAATTTCTCTTCATGCACATATTTAGTCTCATCGTATTTGTACATACATACTTAGTTGTGTTTACGTTATAATACAGCCATCCAAAAGAAATGAAACCATTATAAAACTGTTCATTAACACAATAACATAATACAAAAGTAACAATTTATCGTTTACCTTGCTCTGTTTGCGTTGATTCTTCTTATGATGAAAGAGAAATTCCAAAGCTGAGAAAATCATTGCTATAACCAGACCTCCAATGACTATGTGAAATGTTCCAGCAACATTACTAAGCGATAAAGATTTCTTTCCCACTGACTGCAAAAAAGAAATTAATGTACATATTTCATAAAACACGTTTGATGCTGATTGCCATACTCATGTGGTTTGAAAAAATAATCAACAGATGTTATTTGCAGTTGAATCTTCAACGTACCCACACATTAGGGAGCACTACTTGTAATTCTCAAAACGTTATTATACAAACGTATAAGTTTGAACTTGTATGACGAAAACAAGTTCCGTTAAATTCAAATTGTAAAAAAATGACAAGTCTAATGTACAAGCTTCCATTGATATTTGACTAACGATTCGACATCATGAATATTGTTTACCTGCACATTGGGGGTTTTTAAAGAACCAGTATTTCAGTTAATAAACTGTAGACACAGAGATATATCTCGCCTTTGTCTAATTAGGAAAGCATGATGCAAATGTTGAAATTAAAATGGCAATATAATAACATGTAAACAATATAAAACATTAAAAGTCAATAAATCATGACAGAAGGTGCAGGACAAACTTACCTTCGTGGAAATGAGAAATACCAATGATAATAGACCGCATACCAAAGACCACTGTCAAATCATAAGTGGGTCCCTTTAAACTGCCATAAATTCACTTTAACATGTAAACAATGCAACATTTTTAAAGTCAGTAAACCATGATGAGAAGGCAATGCCATATAATATCCATGGAAATGAGATTTATCAATGCTAAAACAACAGCATAATTAATATTGATGACCTACCAGTGTCTCCCCTTGAACGGACTTCATCACAAACGAAACATTGTTGACGCCAACGTCGCCGCCGGAAACAATACGCTTAAGTCTCGCTATTTCGACTTACCTAGTATACGCCGACCTTTAAATATATGTTTTACGTTTGATATTGAATGGTTATAAAAATAACTTACTGCTGCTGATTGACCACACTGTCCTTTGTCGTACCACCATCTCTGTTTTAAATTAATAAGTTCTCCTTTTTCTATTATTTCCAGTAAAGCTAGGTTTAACTTTCGACTGCAATATAAACACTGTTACTATTAATACAAATATAAATTTGAGTATTCATCTTTATTCAAAAGATTTGTCAGGTTGCAAAACAGTCCGTTTTTTGCAGGAAATCTTAAAACAAAAAAACATTTGAAAGTCATTCTTTTTTATATAATATATGATATGCAACGTTTTTCGGATGTATATGCTGGAAATATTTTCTGTTTACCGTCTATGGAAAAGATAAATCCAAGGACGCAGTACAGACGACAACAACAACATCAACACGGATAGTATGCTGACATTGCAACAACTGCCTTGCAGTCAATGTTATCATAGCCGATCGTGATTTAAATTCAGAAAGAGACAGCACTAGTAAAACTACTTTAGCACTACATGTAAGCAACTATCTTAACATGTGGCATTTAGACTAGTGGGCTATTAAAGTTATCAAATCTTCAATAAAAAGAGCTTACTTCTATTGCAAAAACAAATGCCAACAATCACTTTAACCAATGATATTCCTAGAAATGTATAGGGGTAAGATAAATAATGATACTTAGTGTCGATCTAACTTTAACCTAAATATATCCATGTTTGAGCCTTTATATGACAATGAAATTAATTATTATCTGTCAAGTATGTTACTGTTGTAGACCATGCTCATACAAAACAAACAACTTTGATATATATATATATATATATACAAACAGCATTTTTACTTGAAAATTTTCTCAATTGAAAGGAACAAAAAAAAAACCAAACAACCAGAATAACGAGAAATGTCATGTTGCATTTATCCAATATAGTTGAATATAGATATAACAGGGTAAAATAACTTGCAAAAATTTCATTTGTGATGTACAATTCAACAGAAGGTGATGACTGAAAATGGAACGTGTTTTCCACAAAAAATACACATACACTTTACCTTTGACGTCGCTACAATATTTCAAAAGCCACAAGGAACTGTATGACATTTCAATAACAACAATCGTTTATCCTTAATGTAGAAATAACTGAGATACATAACTAACTTCATTCGTTAAGCAGTCTGTAGTTATACTAAAAATAGACGCGTTACCTTGTCAATGAATGGAAATAATTTTAAAGGTGATTGACATATTTTAATTTAAAATATGCAATTAACAAAAAAATCAAACACCAAATAATTAAAGACTTTTGTTGAATTCTTGTATCAACTTTATTCGTTGTTAAAAAATGAAAATTTTATAGTTGGCACGTGCATGTTTTAGTTTTACGAGTTCTTATCAACTACAACAAAGTTATCAAAAATCTTACATGAAACATACAAGCTGGATTATTTATCCATTCTATCAGAACAAAATTCTGTAAATATTGTCCTCTCATAACAATAATGATTTACATATGAGACGCTCATGCTGTCGCGTACACAGTCTCACCCTTTTCGATGTCATGTAATACGCTGTTTATGTTAATTTTACCTCGATTTGTATATTCTTAATGAATATATGTGATTTGAATATCAGTAAACTGCCGTTGCCTCTAGCTGAGATGGGAGTGAGAATTTCAATGATCAAGGGGGAGGGTTTTAAATTAAAATAAGACGTTTCTGTAAGGGTTCAACAGAGAGTTGTTGTCAAGAAATTAATGGATAGAGCATGAAATTCAAAGTTATAATCTATTCATTTCAATTCCTTAATACAGCTACATGTACTATGTTAAAATGTTCTTGTGAATTTCTCTTTCATACAAGAATTTCATACTCGCATTAGGAAATAAAAAAAATAATTTCCAATTGGAATATAAATGGATTACAAATTTCTACAGAAAACAAGATCATATTCAGAAGCAGATAGTATTTTTTGTATCTTGACTAAACAAAAACAATTTGACATATTAGTATCAACTGGAAATGTTCAGTTACAATCTTTCATATAACATCATATCTATAGCTTTTTTAAAGTTCTACATTACAGTTCCCCATGTTTAATAGAAAGATGGGCTAAAACGTCTCATTAAACAGAGCTATATGTAAATTGTAAGTTAAAATTTCTTGAACATAGATCTTACTTTTTGAACAAACAACACAAACACCGAAGATGATATCATATACGTGCTGGACATTTGGATCGACGACATATTTGTTATGATTGGTATATTGATATTTCAATAGACAGTCGGTATTCCAATGGGTACTAACTGTGCAACCCAAATGAGATGCGATGATCTCTTGAGTAACTCCTTTTCAAATACTGGTACACCACTATCCCATATTAAGGGGAGGTTTGAGAGCTCTCAAACATATTTAACCCCGCCACATTATTTATGTGCCTGAACCTGTAAATCAGTGGTGGCCGTTGGTTAAAATATCATATCCTTTTTTTTTTTGTTTATTGTAATTGTCACAAATTAGAACGCTATATCTATAATATCTATATTTTGCGTATTAAATATTCAACAATAACTGATTAAATATAGTGTTTTACCTTAATTCGCTTCCTTGTTTTGTTGCAATGCCAATACCATATTGATTGAGGTTATGACCAACCTTCATCGTTTTACATGGTTTTTGCTGATTTCGATAATCGTTGCTAGTTGATTCAAGCAAAAATGCATATTCCCCTTTTCCTTCTAATACTTTTTTCCAACCGTCCAGGTTGCCATTAACGAATGCAGATTGTGGTGTAGCCTCCATAAATTCCCACATCTGTTTATATACTGAGACATTTGAAGTCTGAAATAAATTCGATTTATCGTCAAAACGGTCAATGATTGTCAGAATCGATATATCCAAAAAAAAAAAAGGTGCAACATTTGTGAATGGTCAGATGTTCATAATTAATACAATAACCTTGAACTCATTTTAAGAGGATGCATATGAATTAAACACATGAATACGATATATGTCCGATCATATCAAATTATAGGGCAAAATTATAGATACTTTTATTCTTTCTTTGATGTTTTTAATACAAACATATATGCAATAAGACTGATTTGCTGCTCAGATGGTCACAGTTAAAACTTTAAATTTATTTTGAATAAAAATAACCAGTGTCTAGTTTATGTATAAAATGACAGAAAAAATTCTTGACCTATATTCATAGTTTATATTTTAATGTTTATGTTCAATGCTTTTAGGAATCTAATTTTATGTGTATCATATTCAATGTAGGATTGACATTAGAACTTAGATATAATATCAAATAAAGGCGACAGTAGTATACCGGTGTTTAAAGTCATAAATCGATTTAGAAAAAACAAATCCGGGTTACAAACTAAAACCGAGGGAACACATCAACTATAAGAGGAAAACAACAAGAACACCGAAGTGCAACAAAAACAAACGCCAACACACATAGAAACGAACTATTTGATAACAACTGCCATATTCCTGACTTGGTACAGGACATTTTAAGAAAAAATGGTGGATTGAACCTGGTTACATGGCATGCCAAACCTCCCGCTTTATGACAATGTTAAAAAATATCGCTTAAACACTACGTGACAGAAATACAGTACAAACACACGCAAGAACATTCATAACAAAGAAACGCACAAACAAATTATATAATAGTCGACACAACATACAAACCACAGAACAACAACGAACATATTCTCCATCAACGAAAAACACCACAGGATATCAAAAACAGTAACGCGCTTACGTAACTAACATGCAATCTGGAACTTTATACAATTATTTTCACAATATTGGTCCAAACAATTTTCATGACAATAATGGTATTGAAAGGCAATTTTATAATTATTTTGACTACTTACGATAAGACATAACATATTATCCAACCTAAACCATAACAGAAACAACAAAATAAATCCATAATGTTGGATGTACAAAACACCGAGACACGCCGCACAGCAATGTAATATTCGGGAATATGACAATGATGGTATTGTAGGGCAATTTTATAATTATTTGGACAACAAACGATACGACATAACACATTATTTAACCGAAATCATAACAAAACATCAAAAAATAAAAATTTGAATGTTTGATTTACAAAATACCGAGACACGTTGTATAGCAATGTAAATTCACTCTCGGTATAACAGTCATATTCGAGATTAGGTCACGTTCGGTACTTAGCAGACAGACGACATAGATGTTAAACCACAATCTAAGACGTGGTAAAAAAAGTCATTAGTTAGTTTAGACACAGACACATCGTATAGATCAACCAATTCGTGATGGTGTCCACAAAATTTACGGAGTGTCATTTTTAATCTTTCCTCCTCATAACTCTGTTGGAGCAGTTTCTGAGTAAGGAGCACACTCCTGTATATGAAGTCAGTATAGTGTGAACATGCACGAGCATAACGTATCAATTGAGATATGTACACACCATACGACCTAGCAGGGGGTATGTTACTGCTGAGAAATGGGAAATTGATAATTGGGAAGTTGAAATCATCCCGTTTGTCAAGTGTAATAAAAACATACTCTAAAAGCGCTTTTTAACTTTAATATGACGTCGTACAAAATACTGAAGAAAAAAAACAAATTGAATATAAACTCTTACAGGACTTGATTACACTAATACTTTTGTTGGTGTGTGATGAGATATTTTTCTTTAAATTTTCAAATCTTAAACATTTTATATATATATATATATATATATTAAAACAATAGATATAAGAAGATGTGGTATGAGTGCCAATGAGACAACTCTCCATTCAAGTCAAAATTTATAAAAGTAAACCAATATAGGTCAAAGTACGGTCTTCAACACGGAGCCTTGGCTCACACCGAACAGCAAGCTATAAAGGGCCCCAAAAAGTACAAGTGTAAACCATTCAAACGGGAAAACCAACGGTCTAATATATATAAAAAACGAGAAACGAGAAACACTTATGAACCACATTAACAAACGACAACTACTGAACATCAGATTCCTGAATTCTAAATTAAAAACAACGTTCAAACCTGTGATTGCGTTGGATAAAAACTGCAATTTTTATACGTGTGCATGCAAAACAAATTTCTTGGTAGAGGGGTCTAAATACAGCACAAACAACATTTTTCAAAAGACCAAAAAAGTATATTAAAACATACACTGAAAAACTTTTCTGTAGAACCACCTTTTGAGATACCGTACTTTATTTTGGACTGTCGTGCTAAGTCGTCTGCAGAATTTATTGGTATATTGAGTTTTTCTACTGTTAAGAAAGCAGCTAAGTTTGCTGTATATGATGATACTATGATTAATGTGAAAAACCACCAGGCACATTCAGCTATGCGACCAGATATTGAACTGAAGTAGAAATATTTTCTTATTAATGTAAATATTACATATTGGGCGGGATTTATGATAAATATCAATTGAAATAATTAGAACTGTGTCTGTCTTTTTGTATTAAAAGACTTTGATCTGCAGATTGTTCTATTTGAAATAAATTAAATTACAATAAGAACTACAATTGCAAGATTTTTGTAAGTCAATATCTACTTAAATTCTTTTGCATACATTTATCTTATAACTGATTATATGAGTATAATATGTCAATTACAGTTATCAATAATCAACATTTATTATTCCAAAAGTGTTGTGTGTGTGCATACTTATACGTGTTATTGCTCCACTTTGCATACTTCAAACGTAAATCTTTAGGTTGTTGTAGTTACGTTACTAGTTTTAACAAAATACACATAACAAATTATAACTTTGCACACGATTGATTTTAAAAGTAAGCGTTAACTCCTTGATCCTTTGTCTATAAGTAGGGCGATTTAGAGCTTGTTTGTCGTGTTGTTCGTGTTAGTGACGATGTTGTGGCATGTCTCTCTGTTAAAATAGTTGTTGGTTTGCTTTCTTATTGATGATATCTCGATGCATTATAAATTAAAGTACCCTGAATTTAAACTTACCTTGGAAGAAAATCTGAACCTTGCTGAAGTAATGCGCCAAAAGATGACCATAAAGAGTTAAGTACACTAAAATCTTCTGATGGGCCAGTGTTTGAATTATTTTGCCATTCATAGGGACTAAAGCGTCCAATTAACACCAACACAAGACTAACGCCAGCAAATCCACACATTATACATATCCACATACTGTTTGAAAATGGCTCTTTAAATGATAGAATGTTTGGTTTTTGTTTATCTGGCCTTTTGATCATTATACTTATTCCCGTATTCATAAATGGTTTCGTAAAATCTACCACGTGTTCCCTTTCTTCAGTGATTGATATGCTACCAAGAGCTATATCTGCTTCCTAAAATGAGTAAAAGACTAACATCAACCAAGATAATGAGAACTAATACTTTCACATGGTAAACATATATATGTGTAGGTATTAGTGAAGTAACTGTACATGTGGTATTGTTTTTTTGGTGAATGTATCGTAGATGGTTTTGATTGACTAAATTAGACTACTGTGCTGACGAACATAATATCTCACTGGTGATTATTTCATATCTTTTTTAGCACAAAAGGGAGAAACAAAGTAACGCAAGCAACCAAACACTTGACAGTTAAACAATAACTTAATTCAACCCACATAAATTCACGGTAATCAGGGAACAACATTGACATTTTTAAAATTTATTCTTACTCAAACAAGTGCACTGAAATAATACTATTTAATTAATTATGTTCAGTTTTTCTGAAAATGAATAGCTCTTTTTAAGGCCTGAGTTTTGTATGCTTTGTGTTACGATACAGGATACTCAACAAAGATCTGATGACAAACAACAGGACACAATATAAGTACGGTTAACTGCCGGTGGCGTTAGGTCAGTATCTTTTGTGACCCCACGTGCGGCTCACACATTTTTCTGCATCCCTTAGCATATATCGAATCATTTTGTGTATTCGGAACTGTAGTATCCTTTGCCATTCATATTGCGACACTCGACTGAGTTGGTCAAATGTCGAGGTGGGGGTATGCGTCTATCAAGTTCGTAACGTACCAAATCCGGCTATTTTGATTTTCATGTCAATGTCTTAATGTTTTACTGAGTACATGAATCCATGGTTAGTTTTGCTGTAAGGAAACGGGCACTGTACTGCTAAAACATATTCATCTGTCTGTCAATAACATTGAGCATATTGACATCTCTATACGCATGTTAGTCCATCACGTATTTTGAGAAAAGAAAACGTGACGCATCGCTAAACTAAATTTGGTGCAGATTCCTTAAAGTTTAGAGTCTCGATGTACAACACAATCGAGCATTGTCACGTTTGTATACCTGAGACTGAATTTTTCCAACATAAGGTCTTTTTGACTGAATTTTGTCTTTACAAAGCCTGTTATGGACGGTTCTTACTGTAATTCTCCGTAAACCTAGGATACTTGTATATATAGCAATGGTTGAAGCAGTGACTGTTCGATACCCGGATATATCGATCTTGGACTAGAGTAGTGATGTATGGCCTATCACTCCTTTGGCGATCCTGAGTTGATCCAGTTTTATTTAATATATGCCATATTCGTGATATTGTGCTCTGGTGAGCGTGGAATTTTCGGGCAAGTTCAGTTTTAGATTGTCCAGTCTGAAGACGTCCGATGTAACATGTAGCATAGTCCAATCTTGGCACAGTGACTTTATTGCAGCAATGACACTAAAAATCTCATTGAGGATTTATGCTTTTTAAAACCATCATGCAACTTGAATAATGAAAAGAAGAAAGATGGTGGAAATATTTGTAAATGGATTTTTTTTCACATACATGTGCATCACACTAATGTCAATCGCTTTTATGCTCAGTTGGATTTGTTGTTTGCATATAAATATTCTTAATCATATAATAACATGTTTATTTCATGGATTGAAACATTCCGAGTTGTGTCATCCATTCATTATAAAACATGATAATTTCAAAATAACTTTGCTTGCTCGACAACACTTAATCCATATTAAACTATATTATGCTAGCGTTGTACTTTTATTACATACCCTATAAAAAAAGAAGATGTGGTATGATTGCCAATGAGACAACTCTCCACCAGAGACCAAATTACATAGAAGTTAACAACTATAGGTCACCGTATGGCCTTCAGCAATGAGCAAAACCCATACCGCATAGTCAGCTATTTAAGGCCCCGAAATGACAAATGTAAAACAATTCAAAAAAGAAAACTAACTGCCTGATTTAATTATGTTCAAAACAATGACGAAACGCAAATATGATATACAACAACCACTGAATTACAGGCTGCTGACTTGGGACAGACACATACAGAATGTGGCGGGGTCAAATATGTTTGCTGGTACCCAACCCTCCCCTAACTTGGGACAGTGGTGTTACATCACAACATTTGAACAAACGATAAAAGTCAGTTGAAAATGGCTTAACTCATCAGGTCGATACAAAGTAGAACTAGACAAAGTGATGCCCTCGCACTCCACTCTAAAGTAACTGTAATATAACAAAGTCAATGTAGGACTTTCTTTGAGATATTATTGTGTCTGTGAGACACAAATGATGCCCCCGCAGATGCAAAGTGTTATTTTAAAATACCAAAAGTTGAGCATGGGAGCACATAGGTCTATGGTTCACTGTAGGAGGAGTTATCAGGGAATGCTATGCACTTTGTTTGCAAGTATATACTCCAAAAATGTTCAACTATCTCCCAAAAGAGTAAATATTAATAAAAATCAAAACCCTAACCGCATGCACACCTTCAATATATGTACAAACAGCCAGCAAAGTGAAAACTTCCTAGAATTCAAACTGTTGGAGGCGTTATCCGGAAACGTTATGTACCTCTTATGCAATTAAATACTCCAAAAATGACAAAGTTCAACTATCTCCCAAAAGAGCAAATATCAATAAAAATCAAAACCTTGACCACATGCACACCTTCAATATATGTACAAACAGCCAGCAAAAGTGAAAACTTCCTAGCATTCAAACTGTAGAATGCGTTATCTGGAAACACTATGCACCTCTGATGCAAGTATATACTGCAAAAAAATACAAAGTTCAACTATCTCCCAAAAGAGCAAATATCAATAAAAATCAAAACCCTGACCAAATGCACACCTTCAATATATATACAAACAGCTAGCAAAGCGAAAACTTACTAGCATTCAAACTGTAGGAGAAGTTATCTGGAATAGCTATATACCCATAATGGGACGGACAGACGGAATGACAGACGGACGGATGGACGGACAGGGGTAAAACAATATGCCCCCTAACTTTCAGTTGCGGGGGCATAAAAACATGCAACAAAAACACAGACAGGACGTGACGGGTAGTTGTACATCCCCACAACAAAAAAGACACCAGCTTACTATCAAACTGTTATTATGTTGTAATATGACTAAAACAACACAGGTTTAGGTTATCCAATGCATGTTTAATTATTATGAATAATACTAAATATCTAATTGTTTACCTACTCCTTCTATAAGTTCAGATATCATACCATCCCAGGATTTCGTTTTTTTATTCCAAGCTCCATATTTGGTATCATTCCGTTTTCGTATTATATAATCTAGTTGTAGCTGTGAACTATTGGCAAGTTTTCGGAACATATCAATACAGAATCCCTCAAATACTTCCTTTCCATTTTTATCTGTCTTATTTATAACAAATGGAGCCTCCTGTTTTGAATATATAAGCAGCATTCGTTTGATATCATAATATACAGACCTTAAAATGATAGTTAACTTTTGTATATAATATACTGGTATACAGTAATACGCATATCAAAATTTTTCAAATCGCACAAATTGTTTAGCCGTATTTAGAGACAAAGACACACATATCAATAATAGTCTGTAAAACTTTTACAACTGCTACTCAAGTTTTGTTTCTCCTGAAACTTGCTACTCAACACAAATTTGAATGCATATGAAAACCGAAACAGTAAAACATGAGAAGCTTACTTTTTCATCTGTTGATGCACAAAATCTCACCCAATAAATATCATTTCACACCTCTTTAACCTTTTTAATTCTTTATTTGCATATTCATACCTGTACTTTCAAGGTTTCAAAAGTGTCTTTGCATCAACATATACGATCTATGAATGGTCTCAGATATGGTCTCTTATAATAAAAAGTTTATATCTAGTTAACGATGAAATAGATTGAGAATGCAACTATTCAAATTACCCTGTTTTGGAATTCTATGTAACAGTATACATTTATTTGTGAAACCCTGGGAAGAAAGAGCATTCACATGTATATCAGTAAACAATAAAATGTAAAACCAAAAGCCTATCATTTCTAAAATGTATCAAGGCATGTTTGCAGTTTTGTAGACGTAACTGGCAACCATATGTAAAACTTTTCAAAGATACCAGTGGCTCTTTTCACAAAATATCTTAGGATTAAAAATACCCATAAGCTATACACATTTTAACATATTTTTTCATGCTTATGATTTTGTACGCTATACGTGCGTATCGTCTAAATAAGACTCTCCAGTGGCGCTCGAATCAAACCAATCCGTTATCTGAATCAAGTACCATGTTAAAGAGCATTAAAAACTATTTCGAAAAGTTGTGCCTGATACGATGTTGCTGGGATAATACAGCAACATCTGTCTGCAGGATCATATATGCTGAAACATCATTGTGGAAATTTTACCGCAAAATATGTCCCGATAGCCTCACCCGGCATTTATAAATCAAATAAGCACCACCGAAACAATGAAACAGAAATTGTATGTCTCATTGATAACTATCAGAAGTTTAGAAATTACCACAACTAATGTAACTATATATGGGCCCTTCCGTTCTTTTTGCTTCTTTTTTAGAGCTTCTATCACATCTCTGTTGTATCCAGTTTCAGACGACCAGTTTCCAATCTACAATGTAATGTAAATGTTGCTGCAGTTTAAACTTTACGCAATCATTCATTTCTAGACATCCGCACCTTCCATCAACGCATATGAACAAATCATTATTGTATAACAAAAAACTAATGCTAACGGACTTACAAATTAATGTATCGATATAAATGAGTATCGGTGCGTAAGATTTAAAACGTAGAACGCAATATTAATTTTATAATTTGACCATGGTTACACAAATCTTTTTAGAACCATTACAGTATATTTTGACATTTGAAATAGAATATTATCCATCAACTGTTCAGACATCTATAATCTCAATATAATTACATAGTGATGTCGGTCATGCAAACCTCAAACTTCAAAACCAAATTATATTTATCAAATTAGAACACACGTAATGCATTTCCAAAGAGTCCCTGGTGACAAATAAAATATGAAGGCACCACAACGTGTAGATTTACAAAGAGTTAATGTATTTGATGCATTTATATTTCACATGTACCCTAAATGGTCATTAACAAATTAACTGCTCAACATGAAGTCAAAATTTATTGCATATTTCCATTTATAAAGCATGCTTTTTCTTTCTGCATGAAATGATAGATTATTTCAATCTATGACATCTTGCTGAAATGTATCAGGTTTAAAACCATTACTTACACAATAAGTCAAATGCAGATACATTTATTTAGTACAACTTTAACGTTCCCAAGAACTTGAACAAACCAAATTAAATTTTTCTGACAACCACAATTACATACTTCTGACAACCACAGCCATACGTCTGACAGCTGAACACTCACACGTCTGAAGACTACACTCTCGCACGTCTGACAATTAAATTCGCATTCGTCTGACAACTACACTCTCGCACGTCTGACACCTACATTCACACATGTTTGACATCGTCACTTGCACACGTCAGACAACTACACTTACACAGGTATGAAAACTACACTTGTATACGTCCAATGCATGAATCTTGAATCTGAAATGGGTCAAGTTTAAAGCCATTACGTACACAATAAATAAAATGCAGATAGTATTTTAGTTCAACTCTACCGTTCCCAAGAACTTGAACAAACAAAATTACCTTTTTGCAAAAGTCTGACATCTACAATTACATTCGTCTGACAGCTAAACTCTTACACGCCTGAAGTCTCCATTCGCATTCATCTGTCATGACATGCTTACACGTCTGACAATTACACTCTCACGCGTCTGACACCGACTTTCACACATGTCTGGCAACTAAACTCTCACAGTCTGACAACTACACACTCACGCGTCTAAAGACTACACTCTCGCACGTCTGACAAATAAATTCGCATTCGTCTGACAACTACACTCTCACACGTCTGACACCTACATTCACACATGTTTGACATCGTCACTTGCACACGTCAATCAAATACACTAACACAGGTCTGAAAACTACACTTGTATACGTCCAATTCATGAATCTTGCTGAAAAGGGGTCAAGTTTAAAGCCATTACGTACACAATAAATAAAACGCAGATAGTATTTTAGTTCAACTTTACCGTTTCCAAGAACTTGAACAAACAAAATTACTTTTTTGCAAAAGTCTGACATCTACAATTACATTCGTCTGACAGCTAAACTCTTACACGCTTGAAGACTCCATTCGCATTCGTCTGTCAAGACATGCTCACACGTCTGACAATTACACTCTCATGCGTCTGACACCTACTTTCACACATGTCTGGCAACTAAACTCTCACAGTCTGACAACTACACTCTCACACGTCTGAAGACTCCATTCGCATATGGCTGTCAACTACATTCTCACAGTCAGACAACTGCATACGCATACGTCCGACAACTACACTTACACAATTCTGAGAACCACACTTGCATACGTCCGATGCATACGTAGTGCTGATATATCCAGTTTTTAAGACATTACTTACACATTAAGTCAAATGCAGATACATTTTGTTATTTCAACTTTAATGTTCCAAAGAACTTGCATAAACAAAATTAAATTTTTCGCATAAGTCTTACAACTGCACTCACATACGTCTGACAACTGCTAAACACTCACAGGTCTGAAGACAACACTCTCGCACGTCTGAAAACTACACTCGCACACGCCTTACAACTACATTCTCACACGTCTGGCACCTACATTCACCCATGTCTAGCAACTAAACTCGCACACCACTGACAACTGCATTCGCACACGTCTGATAAATGTCTGACAACTACATTTGCATACGTCTTACAACTACACTTTCTGACTACACCCACACAAGTCAACAACTACAGTCGTATTAGTCTGACAACTACACTCACACATGTCTTTAAATCACACTCACGCATATCTGACACCTACACTTGCATACGTCTGACAACTATTAAATTCACACACGTCAGACCACTACCCTCACACACGTCTGACAACTGCGAAGAGTCAAAGTCTAAATGTTTGATCTATGTATTCATTTTATTGCATCATGTATGAAGGTTTATTTAGGAAGAATCTGATTATGGTTTGCTACCACTAGATCGATATCATTTCTTGTCGAATATTTAATTTAGTTCCGGTGTTTTTCAAAAGTCCATTTGTTAATGATTCACATTGGCTTTGGTTTCATAAGCATATTTCAAAAATTCTCAGTTTACAATTTTGAAAAAGGAAGATTAAACCTTTTACATACAAAGACTGCCTTTGACTACACAGTATATTTCATACTGTAGATTTTGTGTATTATACATCTTTTGAATTTGATACCTTTGGCTATGGGCGTTCCAATTGCTGGTTTATCCATTAGTGTGCTTATATTCTAACACACCAACTCGTATGATTAAAGGTTTTTCATAAACATACCTTTTGCAGTTTCTTTTTGTATAAAGAATGAACATCGAAGTTGTATTTTGATCGGTATCCATTTTCATCAAATTGTACATTTCCGGAAAGACATAATGCTGAAGTCTGCAATACATAATAGATACTAATACTCAATTTGTGTAAAATGCGTGGATTTATGAATCAGTGTCTGGTGTTTTACACAAATGTGCGATTTTGTTAGTTTATAATGAATAAAGCAAACAATAGCAACTTATTGTCATAGTAAAGAATACTATTGTCATAGTAACGAATACTATTGTCATAGTAAAGAGTACTATTGTCACAGTAAAGAATACTATTGTCATAGTAAAGAATACATATATTTTATTTGAAACTGGTGTTGATTTTTCGTGTCTTTAATTTTTGTTTTTCATGATATTTGTTTGTTTGTATGATCAGGGACTTTCTATACTTAGTATAGAAAGTCCCTGGTATGATATAACCTTTTTGTAGGGGTTGGTTTTGTTTTGTTTTCTCTTTTTTTCTGTGCATTTTCCTTGAAGTTTTATTCATATCTCCTTTAAATTTATACATATTTAGAGGTTGGTTTTTTATTAAATTTGAAGTTAAACATGTTGATAGAGCGGGATACCAAAAAATCGAAAGGTCTTTTAGAGTGCATATAATCCAAGTTACTCTCCCAAGTGTTAAAATATTTTATAAATGAATTCGTCATGTATAAATACATTGTACAAGTAATAAATATGAAGTAATTCAAAAACGGGATTAGGAAAACACAGCAGTGCTCTTATTATAAATCCATTTCTCCTTGCACAATGAAATTTAAAAAGGGTTTTGATTTTTCAAACATTTATCGGGTATTCCTCATAGAAACCCTACAAAAGGACTGAACGAATTAATCAAAAACTGATAATAAAAACGAATTGTCATCTTTAGTACCGTTACAAACTTGTATTTAGTTTCCATGGAAACTTCGATATTCGCCACTTATATAACAGAAACTGCTGACCATCCCAAAGAATCTGCGTTGACGATTAATTCATTTGGTCGGTTAAGTGTTTCCTGTAGTGGTTTCCTTCTTTCCTTGAATTATGATTTTTGATTGGCCTAAAGGGTGCTCTTACTTTTCCTAAATTGCTCTTTGACAAAAATATATATTCTTTCGTCAGGGTCATATAATGTAATGCTTGTTATATCCCTTTTACAATAATAGAGGGATATGAGGTTTTCATACAAACAATTTTCAGAAGCATTAATCTGTTCAACGAGATTAATCGTATATAGGCATATCTGTTTTCTAACAAATGGGATAACGATTTTAAAATACAGTAACTGCTGTGATAAAATGAATATAACATATAATAAATTTAACTTACATTCTTCAAAAACTCTAAGATTATTGGTCCTCTTTCAAGATATTTATTTTTATGACAAACTATTTCTTTTGAACAATTTGTATTATAATGTATACCAGCTCTCGTCTGGAAAAATTCGGGTCCCTCTCGATTTATTTTCTCAAACCCTTGTTGTAGAAAGCAAAAGCTGTCCAACAGAAATACCTCTTTCATCTACAAGAATACAGATAAAATAACCATTAATCAATGATTTTGTAGTATACAACAATTATACAAGTGCCTTATCCAGTCTGTTCGTCTAAAAGGGCACTGTAATATGAATGTAATGTGCTTCAAATGAAATGTAAGTACAGTTACGACAGTAATTTGCTATATATGTAATGTGCTACGACTGTAATGTGCTAAAAATAAAAAATGCTATAAATATAGTATACTACTAATGAATGATATACTACAACCGTAATGTGCTACAACTGCAATGTATTACAAATGTAATATGATACTAATGTTATGTTTAACAAATGTAACGTGCTACACTACACATATAATGTGCTACAAATCAATGTACTTCAAATGTTGTGTGTTACAAATGTAATGTGCGACGACTGGAATGTGCTAAAATGTAAAGTACTGCAAATGTAGTCGGGTTGAGAGCTCACAAATATGTTTAACCCTGCCACATTCTTTATAACTGTGCCTGTCCCAAGTCAGGAGCCTGTAGTTCAGTGGTTGTCGTTGGTTCGTGTTTGTCTTATTTGTATTTTGTAAAATGTTTTGTTATAAATTAGGGCGTTAGTTTTCTCGCTTGAAATGTTTTACATTTTTCATGTCGGGGCCTTTTATTGCCGACTATACGGTATGGGGTTTTCTCATTGATGAAGGCCGTACGGTTGCCTATAATTGCTTACATCAACTTCATTTGAACACTGGTGGATAGTTGTGTCATTGGCAATCATACCACATCTCCTTATTTTATACAACAGTACAAATGAATAATATACTACAACCGTAATGTGTTACAACTGCAATGTATTACAAATGTAATGTGATACTAATGTTATGTTTCACATATCTAACGTGATACACTACAACAGTTTCTGTTATTTGCTACAAATCAATGTTATACAAATGTAATTTGCTAGAAATGTAAAGTGTTTCAAATGTAATATGCTTCAAACTTTTTTTTAAGGTAAAGTATAACAAATGTAATGTGCTAAAATTAAATGTGCTGCAATGTAATGTGCTACAAATGTGACGTGCTAAACTACAAATATAACATGCTATTACACTACAACAGTTACTGTAATGTGCTACAAATGTAATTTGCTACAAATGTCATGTGCTACAAATGTAACTTTCTACAAAAATAATGTGCTACAAATGTAATTTTTTACAAAATTTATGTAATGTTCTAGAAATGCAAAATATACTGCAACGGTAATGAACTGAATCTGTAAAGGCCTACAACGGCAATGAATACTTTTAATTTTACTGCAATTGTTTGACAGTAAATAAGAATTGCAGAGTTGTAACATTACCTTTTTATATATCATTCCCCATTGGAACATCAGATCATGTTATCTTACATCGTAATTTCTGTTTTGTTCTTGCAATAATTTATTTACTCACTGTAAACGGTGGAACTGGGATGCCCTTCTTTATCTCCGAATTTGTTCTTTTATTCCAGGGTGTCATAACTTTTGACAAACTTCCGTTTTTGTCCACTATTTGGAAACCCGTAATTCGTGCTCCACCATGTTCAAAACTTTTCAGGTCAACAGTCTGGATATCCTTTTGATTGAGTAAAATAAAGTTGAGTTAATTATAAGTTAGAGTAGTAAAAATAACTAGTAGAACTAATTGAGTGAAATCAGTAGTGAGTCAGTAGGAATAAACACTCGTTACTTCACATCAACTATTTTGTAAATTTAAGAGAAATAAAATAATTGCAAACAACGTATTCAAAAGTTTTAGAAATTTTTTTTTATAAAGAAAATATCTGTACAATAATACATATACTTTTGTTGCACTTAAGGTGGTACCTAACACTACAGGGAGATAACTCTGTAAAAATCAGCTAAACGTTTCAATCACGTTGTATTGTTAAGGAAATATTAAGCTTCTCAATGATCAAAATTAGTGTTTGTCAAACTGCTATATAACCAATGAAATTTTTCTGATAAAGTGGTTGGTTCAAATTTTTTGAAATTTTTATATTTTTGTCAAAGGGTCAAAGATAACATTTTGTCAAAATGTTAAGAAAATTAAACGAGCCAAATTAATATTAGTCAAGGTGTTGGGTACCACCTTAAAGGAATGTATTGAATCACTTGTTAACCTGAATAATTTAGTCGCTTCCCATTATCGACTCTCCCACTTGAGATTAATGTAGCCGTCATAGCGGAACGGGATAATGACTGACGGTGGGACGGTAGTATGTCCTATGCCATAGGGTTAGTGATAGCCTTTTTCAGACTTTATACACATTCTTACACTAACCCAGAACCTACATACATAGTTGACCGAAGTACTTAAATTATAATGTTCAGAAATAAATGTGTATATGTATGATGACCGTTTACTTTTTCTGCTATCTGTATTAACATTAAGGCCACTAGTGCCTTTATCATGAAGTGAATACAAAAGAGCAACTTAGTTCCCGGAAAGTAACTGCTACCGTTCCACCTGAATTAAAAGGGTTAAGCATTAGTCAGTCTTTCATTACGAAGAAGAAGTTAGTGATGAGGCAAGATGTCTTGTTAATATGAGTGAATATTTCTTATTTTTCTGTCATTATACATTTTGTTATGTTCCCTTACCATGCCACCAATTATGTAATTATATCCTTCTCTGTTCATACCTAACTCTGTTATCTGAAATATAAATTGTAGAGATGCGTACTTTCATATTATCAACAATAGGTTTTCTGTATAACGAAAACATTTATAATGAAAATAAAACATTAGAAATTTTGTGCGTACGAAACGCTTTTCTGGATTTATCTCAATCAGGAATGATGAAACCAAACATTTAACAGCCAGGGATGTGTAAATACGTAGAAACATTAGGAGCTACATGTATATGACCAAAGGAAACCTTAAAAACAATAGTAAAATTCATCTAATGTCAAATTGGCCTGAAGGAGTTTGAACCTAAGTTTTCAGCATTAATCTTTTAAACTTTTAAATAAGTGCTGCAAACTATGTACACAATGTAATATGTATAAGTTTTGTTATTCTTGAGAATACGACTGGTACTATCAAGAATGTGTTTAAATGAATTCTCTACAATTCCTTTGCTAAAAATAATGTCAAATATCCAACTTACATAAGATAATAATAGTTATCAAAATTAAGTATCTGGACTTAACCTTAATAGCCACGGGTTAATTATTTTCGGTAAAATTAAAAATGAGCACGGCCCTATCAAAAATGATATTTTACTTACATCAACATATTTGTTAGTTTTTAAAGGACATACCCCCAACATTTGATCATCCCTGGTTACAGTTTTAAAATGTTGTTAACTACTATGTTCTACCTGCAGTGGCGACAGCAAAATTAAATCGGACGTCTACGTTAGTTGAACGATGTTTGGTTTTAATTGGCCCAGTAGTTTCAAATGAGTTGGCCTGTGTCCCATGGAAACAAAATTACTTCGTTCGACGGACGAAGCAAAGACGGCCACACCAAATTCGAAAAGATTAAGATTTTAAATATGATATTTTTAACTATAATTCGAGAACAATAACTTTAATTTATACAACGCTCGTGAATCTAATATTTCGAAACTTGAAGCATTCGAATCTTGACGAATATAACATATCTTTTTTTCAAGTTAGTTATCACGAATCTTCACAAACACAACTTGTCTTTACTTAGTTTATATCATGAATCCCCACGATTATTTAGCTATTTAGCACCAATCTTTACGGATTTTTCAACTATTTTATTTAGCTAATTATCACGTAACAGTTTATTCCTAAACATTTGAGTTGTATTCTGTATATATATTGCAGCATAACGTTTAATTCCAAAGTAACACAAAGGATTAATAAAAGTAACTAAAAGTGCGTCATATAAGTTACCGGAATAGCACTATTGCATAATTAAAAACCAGTGGCGGAGAAAATATTTGTTGAAATTTCAACTTGTCAATATTATTGAATTGACTTAAAGTTTCCTCCGCTTATAATAAAATTCAATTCTCTTGTGTTTTATATATTATCTTTTAAACAAGTACAAACTTGATTAAGGATGTTCGCTACTCTGTTTCAAAATAACAAGCTTTTAAAAAGACTGTTATAAATTGATAGTATACATTAAATAAAGGAACTAAAAAAGCAGATAAAGGGTCCGTGTGCTTATTTTCGAGATATAAGCCATTGAAAATTTGACGGGAAATGATTCTCTCTAGATTTTTCATACATTTAACATTGACACCTTTTTTCTGTCTAAAAGTATGAAAAAATAACAAGGATTTAATATGGTTTTCAAAGATGGCATTTTAAACTACATTTAATCAAATTATGAAAAGAAAAGTAGGAGTTAGTGGGCAAAATTTTTGATGGCATTACATGGATAAAACCAGAGGATTCCGAATACCTGTCAAAAAATTCAAAAGCAAGAGGAGCGAACATCCTTAAGCTTCTTCGATGTTATTTTCAAGTTTTGGTCTTCTGACGCGTTACTTTTAACTAATTAATGCAAGACAGGACTTTGAAAAGAGGAAAGTATTCTAAATTAATTTTGCGTGTCGTCCGGGTTTTACAAGGACACAATATTCTTACTGCCGAAAATCTGAAGGTCTTAATTGATACTCAAAACAGGTACATGTAATAACATATATACAATTGTATACCAAGATTCTTCCTACATGTAACCTGATTGTTTTCATGGCTGTATATAAAAAGATTATGATTGATTGATTGATTCGTATTTAACGTCACTTTCAAAACTATTGTGCTATTTCGTGGCGATCAGTTTTTCTTGGTGGAGGAAGCCGGAGTGCCCAGAGACAACCACCAACCTTTGGTAGGAAAAATCACAATACTAGTCATCAAAGATTAAAAAGATTATGAATACCAAATTAAAACAGCGATAACGTTAAAATGTGTTAAGGAAAGAATCTTTCTTCACTAACCTGTCTTAATATTATTTGCAATATTGATCTATCTAGTATATCTAAAATAAATATCTTTTCTGTTTGTGATAACGCCATTTTATCTAAAATCCGTAGCTGTTCATAAGAATCATAAGGATTTCCTAAATGTCGTTGTATTATATTTATTTTGTCCGTCGTATTTGTTAACGTAAATATTTCTGAAACTCGCCAAGGCCACAGAGCTGAAAAACAAAACAATTTTGTAATGATAATTATTTGTTATTACAATTATTGTTGTTGCTGTCAATCCTCCTACGAACTATACCTTGTTCTTTAATTGGGTTTTTGGGTTTTTGTGTTGTCTACACTTATCACAATATTGTCTATCCTTTGTCTTGTCTACACTTATCACAATATTGTCTATCCTTTGTCTTGTCTACACTTATCACAATATTGTCTATCCTTTGTCTTGTCTACACTTATCACAATATTGTCTATTCTTTGTCTTGTCCTTTTCAACCTTTTTAATATATCAAACTTTAACATTCGTTACAACTTTTAGAATTAGTAATTTACATGTTCCGATAGTTTCAGAATTTGATGATGTATTCTGGTTATTCAATTAAGACAAGAAACACTGATCAATCCGCTATTGTCTTATGCCTTATCACGTGATATGACTCATCAATGTACTTCAACAGGAGTGACACAATGAGTGTCATTGTAGAGCAGGAACTGCATACCCTTCCGGAGCATGCGTGTGAGTTCACATTCGGCTTTTTGTGGTGTTCCTTTTAGTCCATATATGGCGTTCTGTGCAGTGTTTTCAAATCATATTCCAGATTCGTCATAGTTTTTATTCAACAAGTGCATTAAATGCTAATATAAATTTTTGAAGATGTTATATTTCGTTAGTATACTTACGATCGTTTTCAACATGAAGATAGAAAACCCTCCTCCATTTATGCATTTTAATGAAATCTACTACAGCTTTCATATGTGATGGGGCAATATGTAGAAGATATTTATAGTTGGGCTTCAGGAGTTTTCGGACATCATTGTAAATTATGACAGGCACGTGCATGGCTTGGCTGTAAGATTCAATAGCATCATAAGATCGGACGTCTGCTGCTGTAACTATGGTGAATATGGTTTCCATGAGTAATGAACATACTGAAATAATTATAACATTTAAAATGTACTTGATTTTTATCATACAAAACAAATACAAACGAAATGTATTTACCTAGTTTTACTAAATTGAATTTAAAGATAATCATTTTATTTCTTTTAGACATTGGAATTAAAATTTAACATTTGAAAGTTTTTTTTTATTTTTTCAAACAGTAAAAGTCTATCTAGTCTTATTCAATGTTTGAAATATACTATTACAAACTTTTTGACGAAATATTCATTCTAATGACGATGTCACTATGAAGTGGGATTTAAATGTAACATTTAATTTAAGTGTAATGCCAATTGCTACTTTCAGAGTTTTCTTTAATTTAACTTGGTGTATATTAAAACCTTAACGATGCCAAATGAGAAACAAAAGTACTTTCTTTGCATATAAAACAGCAATTTATCCATCTTTTAAAATTATTACACAGACTAATCAGCCGTTTAAGCGATCTATATTTGGAATTACTTCAACATGGCTAGGTCATTTAACTAGGGTGAATTTATCTACGTATTATTCGATTCCTTCGGTTGTTTTTTAACCATCATGATGTATACTATCATGTATGTCTCAGTATATATACTGTAACAGGTCAATGGTGTCTGTCGAATATGTCTTACATCTTTACAATAAACGGTCGACTTCGTTCATCCTACACTGGTCCGACACCTTTGTAGCCAGAGATTCTTTCAGACGGTATCAACCAAGATGTCAGTATTTTAATATTGATTTGGTATAAACTGTTTATTTATTTATATCATTTCCCCCAACAATCGGTCTAATCAAACATGCAGTAACTTTTTAATAACTGTAAACTACTCTTAAATCGGTTCTATGTGTATTTTGTTTTTAATTAGTTGTTACTTTACGCAGTGCATGTACCAAACCTGATGATTTAAGCCCTTTTCAACTGATTTTTAATGTTATTTTATTTTTGATCTGTCACACCATTGTCCCAAGTAAGGGGAGGGTCGAGCTCTTACAAACATTATAATCCCGCAGTATGTTAAATGTGTCTGTTCCAAGCCAGGAGTATGTAGTTCAGTGGTTGTCTTATGTTTCTGTTTGTAAACGTTATTACATTAAATCAGCTTTTTAGTTCTCTCTGACGTATTGTTTCACATTTTGTTATCGGGGCCTTTTATAGCATACTACATGCATATAGTATGAGTTTTGTCCATCGTGCTGAAGGCTGGACAATGAAGTTTTTTGTCCATCGTGCTGAAGGCTGGACAATGAAGTTTTTTGTCCATCGTGCTGAAGGCTGGACAATGTAGTTGTGTATATCCTTGTCCTGTATTGTTTTTGCCAAATAGTTGTCTCATTGGCAATGTGGTACTACATCTCCTTATATATATATATATATATATATATATATATATATATATATATAGAAGTCTATAAAAAGGACCAACCAGCAAATTTACTATGTACCGGATCGTCTAGAATAGACGATACTGTGCAGATAAGGAAAAAAATTATATAAGTCTAGAGATTTGCACAACGATACTAATATAAGATGGTATTATACGAAGATGTTGTTAATAAATCGTGTTGACAAATATTTCGGCTTAACAAATAGCCTTCTTCGGTGTCAATTATTTTAACAATACCGATAATATGTATAAAAATAGCTCAATAATACAGGTAAGTTTTGGTCTATTGATTAAATCCAAAATCCTGAACATCATAATATAAAACAAAACTCAATACTCAAATATACGTGACTGTGTATATTTACAACCCAAAATGAGTGAAAAATAACTTAGTATTTTTTATTGATGCCGTTTGGATGATGTACATTTAGTTCCTTTATCCAAAAGCTTTCCCGAACCTGTCGCTGGGCATCACTCCAGTGAATGTTCTGTTCAATCACTAGGATCTTCATGCGGTTAAAGTCATCAAGTGTGTGACCAGACTGTCTGAAATGCTGAGAAACTGGGAGAGTGGCTTCTTAGAGATATCACTCCTATGGCCATTGAGGCGTTTGTGGAAAGGCTGCTTTGACTCACCAACATATTGGAGGCCACAAACCGAACATTCTAGAATGTAAATAACATTCATACTTTTGCAGTTAACATTGCAAAATATCTTATAGTTATTTTCGGTTGCCTTACTGTGAAAAGTTGATGAGTGATGCATCTGTAGGCAGCATTTGCAGCGTTTTTCATCACACGAACGACATTCTCCAGAAGTACTTCTATTATCAGACACTTCAGCCCGCACCAGCAGGTTACGCAGACTATTGGGTTGCCTAAAAGCTATCATGGGAGGCTCGGGAAAAATCTTGGATAGTTTGGAATTCTTTTCAACTGTTTTCCAATGCTCACGAATGACACCGAAGCTGTTTTTGAGAGATGGGTGGTAAGTAAGAACACATGGAGTCCTTTTATTTTTCTTTTTATATTTGTATTCTAACAGTTTACTCCTTGGAATAGTTTCCGCTTTCTGAAAGCCTTTTTGGATAGTTTTGTGTTTGTAGCCCCTTCTCTTCAAGCGGGTTTCGAGTTGACGTAGTTGTTTTTTAGTTGTTTCTGAGTTGGAACATATTCGCTTGACTCTGAGTGCCTGACTGTACGGGATGCTCTTAGTACAATGAGCAGGATGGCAACTTTTAGGGGACAGATATTGGTGAGTGTCAGTAGGCTTAGAATATAGATCAGTGGATATGATGCCATCTGTGAGCGAGCAGGAGGTATCGAGGAAGGTGATTTTGGATTTAGATTTCTCATGAGTAAATTTGATACTTGGATGTATGTTGTTGGCATGAGTGATGAATTTATCTAAATCCTCGTCACTTTTATTCCATTTCATATCCACATCATCTATAAATCTAAACCAGGAAAGCGGTTTTTCGATAGAAGATTCAAGGATTTGTTTTTCTAATTTGCCCATAGATATGTTGGCATATGATGGAGCCATTTTGGTGCCCATAGCAGTTCCATTAACTTGCAGATAATGGTCTCCATCAAAAGTGAAGTTGTTGTTTTTGAGTACCAGCGTGAGCATTTTGACCAGGCATTCAGTAGATGGATATTTCACTGGTCGGGAATTCCAAACTTCTTTACATGCATCAATGCCATCTGCATGTGGAATATTCGTGTAGAGGGAGGTGACGTCCATAGAGACAAGTGTCGTGTCGGAGGTGAGTGGATTTAAGGCCTGCAATTTTCTAAGATAATCGGTAGTATCTTTGATGTGAGATGGTAAGTCCTCAACATGTTGACGAAGATGGAAGTCAACGAATTCCGATATTTTTTCCGTCGGATGACCGTTCGCTGAAACTATAGGTCTTCCTGGGTTATTGGCCTTATGAATTTTAGGTAACAAAAGATAAAATCTGCCCGGTTTTGGATTTTCTGGTTTCAAATATTCTAGAGTCTTTTCATCGATGAAACCATCGTTGTGCATTTCTACCAAACTATCAGTTATTTCTCTGCTAAAAGATGTTGTAGGATCAGAGTCTAGTTTTTGGTAGAACCTTGCATCGCCAAGTTGTCGTTCAGCCTCTTGAATATAGGCAGATTTATCCATGACAACCACTGCACTGCCTTTGTCTGCAGGTTTAATGACGATATTGTCGTTAGATCGTAAGTTTTACTTACCTGTATTATTGAGCTATTATTATACATATTATCAGTATTGTTAAAATAATTGACACCGAAGAAGGCTATTTGTTAAGCCGAAATAAATGTCAACACGATTTATTAACAACATCTTCGTATAATACCATCTTATTTTTGGAGCACTGGCATAATAGACCAAGTTTGTTTTTATGTTGTATTTTTACACCACTATCCCAGATTAGGTGGAGAGTGTGGCGCCAGCTAACATGATTAATCCCGCCATATTTTTTTGTGCCTTTCCCAAGTCAGGAGCATGTAATTCAGTGGTTGTTGTTTGTTGCTGTATGATATAAATGTTTTTGTTTATTATTCTGTACATAAATCAGGCCGTTAGTTTTCTCGTTAGAATTGTTTTACATTTGTCACTTCGAGGCCTTTTATAGCTTACTATGCTGTATGGGTTTTTCTCATTTTTGAAGACCGTACGGCGACCTATAGTTGTCAATTTCTGTGTTATTTAGTCTCTGGTGGAGAGTTGTCTCATTGGCAATCATACCACATCTTCTTCTTTTAACAAACAAGTACAAACAAACTGATGTGCCACACAAATTACCCAGGTAAATATGAGTCTTCAATAAAAAATTATGTGTTAATACAGTTTTCTTGTTATCAGAGAAAAAAGGTACAACGTATATTTTGTATATTCAGACTACACACTTTAATATTACAATGGAGTGAAAACCGACTATTCCTGCAATTTGATTGTTTACATTGACATGAATTATGAGCCCATATCACCTGTGAATAAATACGAATAAAATTGAGAATGGAAATGGGGAATGTGTCAAAGAGACCACAACTCGACCAAAGAGCAGAAAACAGCCCAAGGCCACCAATGGGTCTTCACCACAGCGAGAACAGCTGGCCCCTAAACAAAATGTATACTTGTTCAGTGAAAATTGACGTCACACTAAACTCCGAAACATATAAATGAACTAAAATTAAAAAAACATACAAGACTAACAAAGGCCTGGGACAGGCGCAAACATGCGGCGGGGTTAAACATGTTTTGTAAGAGCTCCCCTCCCCCTATACCTCTAGCCAATGTAGAATAAACAAACACACAGCAATACGCACAGTAAAACTCAGTTTAAAAGAAGTCCGAGTCCGATGTCAAAATAGGTAACAGAAGAAACTTAGCAAAATGACAATGATACATAAATTAACAAAGGACTACTAGCAGTTACTGATATGCCAGCTCCAGACCTCAATTAAACTGATTGAAAGATTATGTCTTCATCATATGAAAATCAAGCACAATTAATCCCTCCCGTTAGGGGTTTAGTATCATACCATCATAAAATATATGAGAAGAACATAACCCGTATCATGCCAATAACTGGTTTTAGAATAAATGTGTTTATTTC